TTAACATTACTGCTACTGAGTGCTGATTGGTTAGCATTACTGCTACTGAGTGCTGATTGGTTAGCATTACTGCTACTGAGTGATGATTGGTTGGCATTACTGCTACTGAGTGCTGATTGGTTGGCATTACTGCTACTGAGTGCTGATTGGTTGGCATTACTGCTGACTGTGGTAAATAAACACTGTTCAATTCTGTAAAAAACAAGACCATTTCTGTCTTCAATGATTAGCACCGTAATTGTTAAGACTGACCACTGTTAGCCAGTTAAATGTGAGGAGAATCTTGTGTGTAATATTCAAAAGTGGGATTGCGGTAATAGTTGGGTAATTTGGTAACGATTTAGCCTGGCTTAGATGAAATTGGTTAGTTGGTGGTCATACTCAGTGTAGATTTCTCTGGGGCTTAAAAGGGAATTCCATTGATTTTTTCAAATCACCAATATAGTTTAGTCATTGAGATATAGACTAATTAATACTGAGTGGTTTGATGTGAAATACTACACTGTAGAGAAACTGACTGACTCAGATGTCTTTACAGTGGTGGTGATTGGAACCAGGGTTTGTGATGTCTACAGAGTAAATATAGACATTTTAATTACTAACTGTGAATAATTTTTACTCGGTAAGTTCCTCTAGAATGGAGCATTTCAAAACAAATCACTCTGAATGATAACCATTTTATTATGCATATTAACCATTTAATTATGCATTAATTTTTTTAAAAAAAAAATTGGAATTCACTTTAAATGCTTTCTAGCTGGCCTCCTTCACATTTAACCAGCCTCCTCCCGTTCATGCACATTCATGCACTCATTCACCATCGTGGCATATTCACGTATTTAAACACACAAGGGCACAGACATGCGTTGAGTCATACACCATCAGACACACAAACACACACACACGCACACACACACATCCTGGAGAGGATGATTAGGATTAGAGGTTAAAAACCCCAATTATGCACCTATGTGAAGTGCGTCAGAGATGCTTTGTGATGTGCAGCTGGCTTTGTGAACTTCAACACAGCGTCAGTCGCTCCTCTTCAGCGTGACACACACGCCAAGCGTCAAGGCTGAGCAGTTCACACACACACACGCGCACACACACACACTCACTCAGGGGTAGAGAAGAGCAGAGTAATAGTCCCTGTTATAACTCCATCATTGTGGTGAGTCCATAAAGTATTCATGTAATCAGTCCTGCTATTCTTAGCCAACAACAATGCTTGTCCCTTCTTGACCGTTTATCTGTCTCAGTGCTGTTGTTATCCAGTGAGCACAGTGGACCTGTAATAGCCACAACCTGAGAACCACTAGGGGGGCTGTTTTAGGACGTCTGGGGCTACAGGTATCTGCCACTTGAAAAGTAGCTACAGAACTCTACCCATATATTCGGATGAAGATAAATGCTGCTGTTCAAGGGGAATTCTACCATTTTTTTCAAATTTTCTACATAAATTAATAATGAAGATGTAAACACAAGTAAAGAGGTAAGTATGTGTGTGTGCATGTTAGTTGGGAGTTACAGGGGAAAAAAATAGTATATCATGACACTTTTCATGCCGCTAAAGTTGAAGAGGGCCAGCTAGCAAGCATTGAAGGGGCAATTCCATGGGTTTTTCTCAAAATCTTTACTTAATTAAATTGCTAAGATGTAAACAAATGTAAACGAAGTCATTGAGATGGACGTAAAATGATCTGCTTTGGAGAAGAGACTTTGGACAGAGTCCTAATTGTTCATAGCAGTAGTGATTGGAATTAATACCTCTAAAAGCTCCCTCACAGAAACTTATTACATGAAATGGTTATGAATTCACTGCCCAATGTCTGAGACATTGTGTGCCAATAGTTCTGAAATAAGATTTTGGCTTTGACATTTTACATTTTACATATATGTTAAAATATGTTTTTGGCAGAGAGGTACATAAATTTGTGTCATAGGCTTTGCAGCCCCTAATTTCTGTGACCCTGTAAATAAATCGGAGTCAGTCAAATTCTCTACAGTGCACAATTTTAATGAACACTCTGAATGACTTCTAATTATTATGATTATAATATGCAGACATTTTAAAAAAATCTATGGAATTGGCCTTTAAGAAATATTAAGAGTGTGTTACTTAATGGTCAAAGGTACAAAGAATAGAAATGGGCCAGGCCTGATCTTAAATGTGTTATACAGTTTAAATAGGTTATTGGAATAGTTTCTCTCTCTGAAATTCATAGACTGATATTTGACCATAGTTGCTGTTTGTAGAGTCAAACACTGTTGTGTATTATCAAATGACAGAGTCAGAAAGCTACTCTCAAAGCACTTAAAATGGGTCATTTTCAGCAATAAATCTTCAAAGATAAAGGTGTTAAATACACACACACACACACACACACACACACACTAGCCATATATATTTATATATTTTTCCATTTTATCAGGTCTGCTTACCACATAAATCTTTGTAGTTTTACAATTACAGGCTGTAGCTAGAAACTGACCAGTGGTAAATGGGGGCAGAGGGGACTGATAAATTGTTCATTGATAAACAGATAGGCTTCAATCTATAACTGTACACCCTACATAGTGAACCTATGAGGTAGGTGGAGCTCATAAAGGGGCCAGTGAGTGGAAATACATGGTCAGTCAGCAGTGAGTGTATATCCTGGTCACTCACTCTTAAAAGTGTTCCCTCTACTGGAGGACTCTGCCAATCACACATAGTGACCATTCTGCTTTCTACAGTGAGCTGCACAGCAGTTCTTGAAAGGCTCTAACAGAGCTCACAATTAGGTGGACTGTTTGTGGGACCAATGCTTAAAAGCTTTGCTTGAATTGAGTCCTCTACACTACATAGATTTGAAAAGAAATCATCTCTTTGTCTCTTCAGTGATATCGTCTCTTCATTGATAGGTTCTGTACCATAAATCCTAAAATGTATTGTTTGCACATTAATATATTCAGCTTTTGAAGAGATGTGTTCACATTCATTGCTGCATCATTCTTAAAATATAAGGGCTCCAAGCCCATCCAAGCCCAGAATATATATTCTGGGCTTGGATGCACGGTTCTTTAGTTGATATTGAAACTTCACATGACGTGTAAAAGAGCATCTTTACATTGTAAATGTCATTTATAAAAGAATCCATCTATTGAAATGTTTTTGAGGGAACCGAAAGTGGTTCTTCTATTGATTGCTCCGAAAAAAACTTTTTTAAAAGTGCAGGATCTAACATTCCTCTGCCCACCAGGTTCCTGTTTTTACTCTAACGTGTCTCCCAGTCCCCATACCAGGTGCTGTTAATGGGTTGGTTTGGCTGGGATAGAGTAAAATTATGGAATGTTTTAGGAGCCACAAGGACTAGTTTAAAACCCACTAATATTGAAGACAAATGGAAGCGTTTGGTTAAGTGGGTCAATATATTTTTTATTAAAGGTGCATAAACAAGCCATATTACTAGAAGAACTACAGAACTGACATCAACACAACCAGCACTAGAGGAGGGCAAGGAAAAAACACACACCTGAAATTATGAGGAAAAGCCATAGCTTTGTTTTAGAGAAGGTTCTTCCCCTCTCCTTCTTTCTCCTTTTCCTCTTCTCTCCTTTTGTCTATCCCTTTTTCTCTGTTTCTTTTGTAGTTCACCTACTAATGACCATCATTTAGGCACTTAAGTTTTCCTACAAAACCCATCTTTGGTCATATAAACTTTTTTTAGGGTTCCATGATTGGTGTGTGGTTCCATGTCTTGAAAACAATTCAAACCAATCTAAACCTATATCTAAGCACAGTGTTACTAAAGGTTTTGGCAGTAAGGCCAGATTTCAAAAGAGTAGACAAAACGTCAGGGCAAGACATCATAAGGGACTCGAAGTCATCATACAGTAAAGCTAATAATACTTCACAAATTCAAAGCTAAGACCTCACGAGAAAAGGGAACTCCACAACTTATGAACAGTGACATAGGTTTATATTATATGTCTGAAAGATCTACTTCAACAACAGGTTTAGACATTGTATCTTATCTATATATAACCGTCATTTGTATGTGTGTGTGTGCGTGCATGTGTGTTTGGTTGGCATAAACTCTTTGTACTGTTCTATAGAGTCTTCTTGGAAAAATAGATGTGTTTCTGTTACTAACATGTAAAAAAAAATAGTATATTTGCACCTCGAGCAATCCCGATAAATAGACATTTCCGCACCTGTGTCCGCGAGAGGAACTCGATGTTCCCCTTAGGCCTTCAGCTGTGTAACACCGTCCCTCGGTTTCCTTTGAGGCTGAATATGCATCATAAAGTAAATAAAATGCAGACTGCATATTACTCAGTCCATAAAGTTGACTTTGTGCATCACAGATACACAAAAGACACCTACACACTTCATTAATAGCCTTTTTTTTCCTTCCCTCATCACAGTCAATGTGTACTTTTGCAAGTTCATCAGACTCCAGTATGACTCAAGTCCTCATATGGTGAAATTTGGCAGTAACATTATTCAGTGACAACATTTCGCTGTTCTCTGACGCCTATGTGCACGACAGTTTTTGACATTGATCCAAAAACATAATTCACATTCTGGACACACAAACAAAACATTTACAGCCACTGAGGATAAAAGGCCGAATGGAAGAGATACAGACATTTAACTTCATATAAATTTCACTCTGGTTTACATCTGAGATCAATCATGCAGCTGGTAAGTATCAGCATGGAGCTGAGCCATGAGTCATAGACTACTTAGGCTTGTCTCTAAAAACGTATGACAGGAATAAATTGAATACATCCATAATTCTCTCATAATCACATGTCATAATACGGTATAAAATTCTACAGACTCCCTAGTAGATTTGCAATTAAAACCCACACCTTGTAAAACACTGTTTTTGCATTATGTGGTTACTGGACAAAAAACGAATTATGCACTTGGCTCTTATACAGTAATTTAAAACATTTGCTTGGTAATTTCAGACTACAAAAGTTTGTGACCATTGGATGCAAATATATCGTACACCATGACTACTTTCCATGCACAGTTTTGGCACTGTAGTGCAGAGAGAAATGTGTAAAAATTGGCACATTCTTTATCTAATTTTGTTTTTGTTTGTTTTTTTTGTTTTTTTTTTTGGCAATGCAATTTAATGCACGTCTTTCATGACTCTACAGCATTACAAGCAAGATACTCCAAAAATAAATTGATGCTAAAATATTTACTATGGTCCCCTGATAAGAGAATTGTAGAACTGGCCAAATTAGCAATCCCAAGTTCAGCGTATATTTTACATTTTAAACATCTTACATGGCCGAAGTAAAAGAAGATTCTGTAGTTAATTACCATTTTCTCCAAACATCCCTTTCACTGTGTTCTCTTTTTTCTACCCTTATGTTTTCAATGTGCCAGGCACTCTCACTGGTAGCTGTGGATTTTGCTAGTGCAATAGTCTTTAACTGTTTTCGTGTGTTCAATTCCCAATTATCATTGACTGTGCTGATCCCAACAAAAGCTGACTATGAATCCAGGAACAGATATGGTCCCCAGGATTTGCAGAGTGAGTCTATTGGCAGCCAGAACCACTGTCAGTCCCTGATTTATGTACATGATTTCCCTTTTTCTAAGTTTAAAGCACTCAAGCTGGGATTTTGTCCAATTAAGTGCTGGGACTTTCTCATGCTGAGGATTTTATTATTTGTGGTGGCCGTTTTAACTTGCAGGAGGTTATGGTTCTGCCCAGTGGCAGCTTCCCATGTATAGATCAGGTTCAGTGCTAAACCAGTCCAGTCTGCATGTGTATGTGTAGAGGATAGGGGTGATATATAAGGGGGGACTGTCCGTTGGCAATATAATAGTTGCTGAAGTTGTGGTCGGCCATGTACGGAGCAGGCTGGTAGTAGCAGGTGACGTTGTTGGTGTTGGGGATGATGTTCTGCTCCCCCAGGACCTTCAGAGCAAGGATGGTAATCATGTTGAGAGTCTGTCGCCGCTCATGGCCCATCAGGCACACGGTGCTCTCATTGACCACCCGCCGCAACGTCATCAAGTAATCGTACTTGCTCTTCTCTTCGCCGATGAAGTGGTTGCGCAGATAAGACTCAATCTTCCTTTGCTGCTCGTTCACGTCTGGAAAGTCAATGAAAAAACGGGAGCACATGTAGCGTTCTAATGTTTTAATTTCAGTCTCACTGGCAGGCTTGAAGTCCCGAACCAATAGGTTGCTGTACTTGAGCAAGCCACCCCCTCGGATCTCCTCGGGATTGCGTGTTGCAATTAGCCTGTAGCGCAAGTGGTCCATGGCTTGCTCAAAATCTCCATACATGCTTTCCGCCACCACTGTGACAGAAGGCACCTCTCTGGGAGGTGATGGAGACTTTTCAGCCTCAGAGTCAGATGGATTTGAACTCTGTGTAGTGTCTACAGGGGTCTCTGACTCTGGTGTAATAGGAGGCTGTTGATCTAATGATGGTAATGTGGAAGGAATGTTAGTTGACAATGCAGAAGGATGTACAGCTTGTGGGGATTCTACAGAAGGTCCCAGAATCTGTGTAAATACTTCAGGTGGTTCTAGGGCTTGAGGGGATACCATAGAAGACACGGATCCCTCTGACGATAATGTGGAAGATTCCATAATGGTTGATGGCCATACAGAATACACTTGGTTTTCTGATGATGTTATGGGAGGTTCTAAAAGACATGATGAAATGTCTGTTGGTTTTGGAAAATCTACCGATAACACAGGAGATTCTTGAGCCTGTGGTAATAATATAGGTGGCTCTAGGAGGTGTGACATTAACAATGAAGGTTCTACAGCCTGTGTACATGGTACAGTAAGTTCCTGAGGCTGCACACATGGTATGGAGGACTCAGTAACTTGTGTTGAAATAACAGGAAGCTCCAAGCTCTGGGGGGCGGTTTCTACCTCCTCTGAATCAATAATACGATTTGTAGATAGGGGTGGCACTGACTTGGAGAAATAATCAGCTGTCTGAGTGACAGTTTCTGGAGACTGTTCTTGAGCACACTCAGCAGTTTGGGCAGCAAGCTCAGTCTCCTCTTTATGGGCAAGGTTTGGACTGAGGGCAGGGCTATCATCTACCTGAACTATGGGCTGGGAATTAACCTGAATAAGTGGTTTCACTGGCTGAGACTGAGTTTCTGTCACTTTCTCAAGACAAGGCTGGATCCCAATGTTTTGGTTCTTTGGGGCACTAAAGAGTTTAGACAAAGGACTTAGAATTGTAGCTTTGCCAGTCTCTGGTTCCAAAGACTGTTCTTGATTTTGAATGCTTTCTTCTGGGGGCAAACATACAGAAAGTGTCTCCTCTGAGCGTTTACCATTCTCCTGGGAGGCAACACTAAAGGCTTGGGCAGATATGTCTGATATTCTAAGCAGAGAGTCTTTGTCATGTGAGGCACTGGGTAATGTGTCAAAGCAGTTTGTGGTAAGACCTGGCAATTCAACTTGCATAGGAATTGATTCTTTTGTGTCACTTCCATTAAGTGAATGGCTGACAAGCTCACAAGGTTTAACTGTCGAGTCTTTTGACGCTGATTTTTCTGCTGAGTGTGGCACACACGTGACCTTCCTAGACATTTTCCTGGGGGGTTTTGGTGAGGAATGCTTTAGAACAACCATTTGAGAACTTCTACTAGTTTTCTTGGCAGGAGGTGGTAAAGGGTACTCACTGTTTGAGTCTACTGTTGCTTGTGTAAGAAAGGTGATAGTAGGAGGCTGAAATGTACATTGTTCAGTGAGAACCATAGGTTCAGGTGGTTTTTCTGAAGTCTGCATTGGCTCACACATTGTGTCTGTGTGCTCGATTTCAGGTGCAGATTCAACATTGGGGGGCACTAAAGGGCTTGCTGCTAATACAGCTTTAGTCTCTTTAGACCCCTCCTTTAGAACGTTTGTTTGAGGAGCTGAGAGCTGCTTATCACTCTCTTCACTGCTGCTCTGTACAGTGGCCACCTCTTCAGTTTCTGTTTGAACGTCAGCATCGACTCCTTTCGAATTGACCTCTAGCATTTCCTCTTTGCGCACCAACTTATTTTCATGACTCTCATCTATTTCTTTTTTAAGTGCTGTTCTTGTATCAGACTGCTCTGATACTTCTTCCACAGCTTCAGTCATTATTACAGATTCACTCAGCTCTTCATTTTCCTCCTTATGGATTATTTCAAGACTCATTTCTTCTGTGGAAAGCTTGCATTGGTCCTCCATCATGACTGTTTTGCTGTGGCACCCACAGTCCTGCAAAGTGGGCATGTCCTTAGTTTCACCTGATATGTCAATGTCTGATTCACTGTGGCTCTCCGTACCAGCAGAGGTGGTTTGCTCATTTAACAAACCCAACTGAGAGTCTGTACTCTGAATCAGGGAAGGATCCTGTTCCTTCTCCTTGCGTTGCGCTGCCTCTCTTCTCTCAGCCTCAAGGTAGGACTCCAACATAGTATCCAGGATGATCTGGAAGGAGTCCACGCTGAATTCAAACTGTCGCCGCAGAGAGCTGACAAACTTGAGCTCCACGTTTTTGCCACTGTTGTTGGAGAGTGAGATGAGGCTCCAGCGGTCATGCTCAGTGAAGACTTTGACCATTTTCTGCACATAAGCTTCTTTCATAGTGAGAGCTGTGATTTTGTCCTTGTTGACTCCTTGTGGCAGAAAGTCCAGCAGGCAGCCCAGAACAACTTCCTTTATTATCTGAAAGTCTTCCTGTTTAGGAAGCTCCACACCAAAGATAATGTCCAAATCCTTATAGCTTGTCCCATTCTCTTTGACCAGTACGTGACTTGCCGTGGAGCCATTGAGACGGACGTCCCTCACCTTGATGCTTTTGGAAACCAGCCTCTCTCTGACGACATGGATGATGTCTTTAGGCTTGATCTCCAGGGTGGGGAAGTTGCCCCTTCCGTGAATAGGAATGACCTCCGTGAGAACCTGATCCAGTGTCTCCACTTGCTCTTGGGTTAGATTGTGGAATCGCCGGTCGTCCCTCAGCTCCATCATGTTTTGCAGGACTGGAGAACATAGAGAGACAGGGATAGGGCACAATGAGACAGAAACATAGAGGCAAAAAGACAAAGAGAGAAGGAATAAGAAGGAGTTGATGATAATGCACAGCAGATTGTTGCTAAGAGGCTCTTGAGTGCAGAAAAAGGCTTTCAATGTGCAAATAAAACTGCGTGCTACACGGTTCTCCTGAAGTGCAATATGCTACCCAATTTCACAAGACAGCTGTTTCCCCCAAACATTCATACACATTTTCTTAGCCCATTTTGTATGACAGAATACTCAGTTGCAGACTTCCTGCATGATGACGAGAGCTACGGCTGTACATTTAGTATGTTAAAAGCTTATTCTTTTAATCAGTGCCTGGGAATTAGCATATGTGGTATAATAGCTTCCTTATTTTCTTAGTGCAGATGACTGAAAATATGAAAAAATGCACACAGAATTCATGGACATGTGTTGTGAAAATTTATGCTGCTTCGTTTTCACAGTTTTGTTAACAGTTTGCAAAAATGCAAATGATGTCAGCCTGGACTTAAAGGGAGACAATGCAGTCTGTAGTAATTGTTGTTTTTTGTTTGTATAAAAGACATTTTCTCCTTCCCTGAGTGGGTAAAAACATGCATCCCTCTTTGTCACAAAGTATCTTCACTAGATGACTCATTCTGTGAGGTAAAGGACTGTATCACGTTTCGCAGCCTTTGGGCGTGGGTCCTTCACAGCATTTGGTTAAAAAGAAAGCTCTAGAACAAAATCTACTCAAGACTTGATCAATTTCATGAAACACAGAAAAAAAATTAGATAGCAGTACTTAGTTTTTCAGTGCTTCAATGGACAGAACTAAGACAAACACATGACTATACAAATAATTATTTCTCATGAGCTCTTAAGTGGATTCTACACTTTGGAAGAAAAGGAAAAATAAGGCTGCAACATTAGATCAGTCAGTCTCTGCCAGACTGTGGCCATTGATCGCCTTTCTACCAGAGCTAACAGGGTTAATCTGAATGACTCACTGCCAGCGGAATGCATTAATCATCTGAGCGTCATTAATTAAAAAATATAAGTATAATTATGAATGGCAGAATGAGTGGAAAGAGAAGGAAAACACATGCCATGGGTCCAAGCTGACGTGTGTGTGTGTGTGTGTGTGTATGTGTGTGTGTGTGTGTGTGCGCGCGTATCTGTGTGGGAGTACAAATACAGATCTGCAATTAGACAAACAGAATGATTTATCAGTTCTCCAACAGAGCGAAATGAAATAATAAACTACACTACTTAAAAAATCTTTACATTTTGTGTTGCCCTCAGTAACCATGACAATAACTCTGAGTACTGCAGGACTAAAAAATGGATGGTTAGTGTGGTTGAAAGGCTCTGAGGTTTGGTCTTCAACAGTGAGAGTCAGTTCAGCACTTAATTCATTGAAAAAAGAGCATATTAGATAAACATTAATCAAATGCTTTGATAAAATGATGGGTAGTTGTACATTAGATCACACAAACATTCACTTTAATTCCACAGTTATCTTCATGTCATGTTGGCACTAAACATCAGTTCTCAACAAAAACCCAGTTTCTTTAGACCAAATTTAAGTGCTTATACTGTTTACTGCTTATAAGGATAAGTGAAAGCTGCTATAAACAGATTTGCTTATATACCACTGAAGGATGAGTCCTGTAGAATTTAAAAATTTTAGCAACTTTCATTTTTCAGCTAAAGATTCTTTTGGCTTATTTTGCTTTTTGAAGTATAAACCTGTTCTTCAGCTATTTTGGCACAAGAAATGACAAAAATATGTTATTCCCAGTGAGACTAAAGAGTGCTATTTACTTATTTGTATTGCTGATTTTAAAAATTGCAGAAAAAAATGATTTTTTTTTTTTTTTTGTAAATGGTAGCTTTTTGATATGAATATCAGTTTAGAATCTAAACTTCATCTCCAATAATAGAGCAGTATTTTTGTTCCACCTAAATTTATTTTACAAGTTTTCACACTTTATTGTGTCTCTTTTATAGAAATATCCAGTATTTTACGTCTCCAATCTATTTTAAAGTCGTATTTCATTGATTCATTGTTGAGGGGCCATGATTGCCCACGTTGCTTCGCTTGCGAACTGCTACAGTGGGGGCGGTTGTTTTCCAGCTGTTCAACTGAATCAAGAGATAATCTGCTTCAACACACAATAATGAAGTCAGTGGGAAGTTTTTCAAGGGTCCGCGTGCATTTCCTCTGCCTCCTTTAGAATAACCAGAAGATGTGAATAAGAGAGATGAAGCATGGGGGAGAGGGTAGGGGTGGGGGTGGGGGTGGCGGTTGGGGGGGCAGTGGCGTAATGGATTATAAATGTGAAGCCAGCCAAAGGGCCATGTCGAGCTATGGGGTCCCACACTCAGCTCAGCAAGTTCGCACATGGAAATCTGAACGCCTGCCCATCTCAGCTGATCCTCCGCTGCGCTCTAAAGATCTTTGGCACTCTGTCGTGTTTCGTTTGCATCAAACAGCCAAATGAGACCTAACGGGAGACTTGAGTTGGATGCGGCAGGAAGGTTTTGTTTTCCTTCTACACCCCTTCGCCTCCCCCGCCCCTCTCCCCCCCTCTTGCTCTCTCCCGCAAACAAGCCGGTGTGAGTCATAGCTGGGAAGGGGAAAAAACTGCACCCAGATGCGCTTTCCCACCTGACTCGACTCGAATTTCTCTCTTCTTCTAAAAACAAAGGCCAGCTAATTTAAACACGACTCAGTCCGTCACTTAAGGATCAATGCATCACTTTTGCGTTGGAAAATGATTGCACGCGCTCGTGTGCAAAACTTCGGATGCCTTTCAACATCCTGACTCTGAGTGCTCTAGTTTCATTCATACTCTGCATTTCCCGTTGCTCACGGCTGAAGACAGCAGGCCACCGGCTCCAACTTCGGCTTCGCCCATGATTCGTGTATTTTTATGTTAGAAATCTGGCTTCATTCTTACTTTCGCCAAATAGTTCAGACTCGTTCACAATGAGCGCCACTATATTGTTATTATCTTTATCTCCTGTGTCTTGTTTAGTATAGCAACGTCAAAATAGCCCGAAGCCAAATGCACAAAGGCTGCTTAACGGCTAATCTAACGCTTCCTCGGTCGGTCACGATTCAGTGCATCTCGACATGAATTCGTCACTCGGTGCTTTTTTTCAACTTCGCGGACACGCACGCCACGTCTGCGACCATAAACAAACTCGTGCTACGTCCACGTAGCCTGTTTTACCTCCGTAATCCGTGCACACTCAAGTCAACTCGCCGAGTCAAGTTAACAAACGCAACCCAAATCTGGTCAAAAGCCAAAACAGTAGGTTTTGGAGAAAACTTGCCGATGGGAATTCCTCAACTCACCTCAGTTTGCGATATTAAAAAATTGGAACCACAGATTTGCGCGTCGGAGTTGAATTCCAGCAGGGTAAGAATCCAGCGGGGTCGGTGTTGGCGGCGTTGGCGGGGTCAGTGGCTCCGCTGTGTGGGAATCATACGGGCTGGACTCGGAGGGCGGAGGGCAGTGCGCGGCGGCGGTCGCTGTCCAGGCTGAGCGTGGTGCTGAAACCAAACTCTTAAATATTCTCGCCCTGTTTTCTCCCTCCGAGCCTCAAGCGTAGAGCAGTTTCCATGACGACGTGGCGTCACAGTTTTTTTTTTGAGGGAGTCCGCGCAGCGCAGTCACAACAGTGCCACATATCGAGAGAGCGAGGGCCGAGAGTTAACAGGTGTCAAGTGTGTGCGCGGCCAGAACCACCGAGCCGCCCATAAGACCCCCACAGAAACAGCCTGATGTGCTGAAAGAGTGGACAGTGTTCATTCAGCAGGACTGCTGGAACGACACTGGTGACACATCAACAAAAGACAGAAGGCATTCTGCTTTTTTGTCGAGACTGACTGAATGAATTGCATTCAAAATGTGCGGAGTGTGAGAAGTTCAGACGGCTGAGTTAACAATAAATGCAAAAAGATCCATAAAGAGCAACACAGACTACATACTTACAGCACAAGCCATTCAGGGAGCAGTATCAGGGATGCACTAAGCTATTGATCACTAATGATATTTTTACAACGGCCTGGGATTCATTTTAAACCACCTTCTATTAACGAAGCAGTATCAGAAGGCGGCCTTATGGGCTTCTTTTCCTCATTAACATGGCCTCATTGTTTGAACATTCACCTGTAAGCAGTGGCACATTCTGCATTCACTTCCATGTGGAGGCAACAGTGCATTTCCGCATTTTCAGCACTCGACTGATTAAAGACATTTCTGTCCCCCCCCGCCCCCCCCCCCGCCCCCGAAGACCACACAGAGATGTGTGATGGAAGGCAGTGAAAGTAGTAATAATAATGATAATAATAATAATAATAACAATAATAAGAGGAGTGAATCTGGGCTTTGTCAGCCAGTGGAGGATGCTCGCTGCAGCGCAGTGGCCGCGCTGAATATTGTATCAGGCAGCGAGTGACTCATCCCTCTCTCTCGTTCCCGTGATGTAGAGACGCAAAACCCAATCATCAATCAAGCCCTCCCCCACCCTGCTCCACCCCCACCCCCCTGCCCACGTCAACGACGGCTCTCCGCAGTGGAAGTCCAGACCAACTATTCATGCCCGTTGCTTCGGGCTCTCCTCAGTCCGTACTCCCACTCCAGAATCGCGCATTTTCTGGCAATAAGCGGTCGCTTCCAGGCCTTTCAGCGAGGATAACAGCAGCCCACGCTAACCACTGTTTACAGCGCACGGTAGCCAGTTCTGTATCGCACCGTGATTAGTGAAAGTGGTCCGTGCCAGCGTGGATAACACAAGCTGCCCTCCATTAAACTGTAGCATGGTTCGTGGCTCACAGCACCCGTGATTATCTGCCTTTAGGTGCAGCTGTAAACAAACACGGCCCTATAGCGGGATGATGTCCCTGTATAGCCCTTATACTGAAAGCACCGCTCTGTTTATGACTCTGTTTATGACACACGGGGACAGGTATGAAATGTTGGTGACATACTTAGTCACTGGCCAAGAGGAGTAACGCAAATCAAAGTTCGACCGCGAAGTGATTGTCCAAAAATAGCTCGTTGAAGACGCGGAGGAGCCACGCAGGGATCCTAAACATAAAGGCGGTCGCTCTCCTCGATGCTCCGCCGCCGCTGCTGCGAACGCTGAGAGCGAAAGATGTGCTCGGTAAGATGAAAGGTCAATTTACTCGTTACCAAAAATAAAAATGACGTCACTGGACTTGTACCACAACCGACGGAGAACAGCGAGTCTATTAAAAAAAAGAGGCAGATTCGAGCACGAGCTGCCGAACGCTTGTGACGTCGGCAAAGGCGGGGCTGCGACGGCGTCAGTGGTGACGCGAGCTGCGCGTCGACGGAAGTGGCGTTTAGCGTGTCACAGAAAACCAAAACAAGACTCGGCGCGCTGAGCTTCGCGCGGAGAGGCTCGCTTTTACTTTGAACCCGGGGCGACTAAAAACCTCGAGAACGACGCTCTGAGCTTTTTCCGCGAGTGTGAAGTGTCCGCGGGGGTGTCCAGTATGGACAGTATCCTTCCGCGGGGCTTTGCTCGTTCACTGCTGTTCTGGCCGCTTGGTTTGTGTGAGAGGCTAATTAGCTTAACCTGCGGATGTAACGGCTCCTGTCACTCATTACTGACGGGCCGTTACTGTCGGACTGTCTGACTGTTTGACCCTCTAAGTCCTCTAACTCGGTTTTCTTAGGAGTTGGTCACAACGCAGATATTTAGTGACCATTTACTTTGTTCAAAATCGCTGCGTGATTAAACCGTTAGGATGTAAACAGAATCATTCAGAGAGTTTTGTGAAGCGGGTTGTTTAAACTGTTTGAGCTGTTTAGGCTGTTTAGGCTGTTTAAGACAAACTTACTGAGTCAGAACTGTTCCCAGTGGTGGTGACAGGGACCGGACTAGACGTCTAAAGAGTTTATTTCTTCTAAAAGTTACGTTATAGAAAGTTATAGAGCTGGGCATTATGACAACATTTCACGCTATCGTGATAAATGACGTCACAATATGCTTTTTTTTGAGCATATCGTTAATACTGAGAGTACGTGAAAGAGTTACACCTGCTAACGGCATGTTTGATTACAGAATGGGGATTATTAATCCTGTTTATTTGGATTTAGCACAGCACAGTGTGTAAAAGGTTAAATACAAATAAAACAGTTCATAGCTTTTGATGGCATTGCTTTGTCTGTTCTAACTTATGAGCCATCAGAAAAAATACAAATTGTGACAAACTGTGTATCATAAAAAACTTATTGAAGTACCGTGATATGATATTTTGCCATATCGCCCACCTCTAGGAAGTTAATAAATGAAGTGGTTATGAATGCCCTGCCTGATGCCTGAGACATTGTGTTATATGAAGAATTTGGCCTAAAACAAATTTTTAAAAGAAATTCATGGTGGAGAGCTACGTGCAGGATGTTATAAGATAGAATCCAAAGTAATTTTTTTCTGATTTACCGCTGTTTTTTTTATTATCAAGAATAATAGTCATTTTGGGTAGTAAATAAATTGGCTATATTTGCATTGTAGACATTGCAACTTCTGGTTCATATAACCACCAAAGTAAAGATATTTGAGTCACTAAGTTTCTCTACAGTGAACCGTTTCACACCAGTCACCTCTGGATAACTTCTCAATGGTTTAATTAGTCAGAACTTTTATAGGTATTTTCATACCTAAAGTTTATGTATCCTACATGCTACTGGGATAGTATTAATACGGGCAATAAAATAATCAGTCAGCAACACAATTATACTGATTTAGCTAATGCTTCTTTCTCTGCGGTTCCCAGCCCTGGTCTTGGACTAGCATTGTGCTGCACATTTTGGTGTTTTCTGTGCTTCAACATTGCCATAAATTGGATCAGATTATTTAGATGGATAAACGCCAACATATAATCGCTGTCCAAGAAATCAAACAAGTATCTTTAAAACAGTAATTTTACAGGAGAGAGCAAAAACGTTCTTAACCTTCATTGTAAGTCAGTGGAAAAAGATTTTTTTCTAAGCAGTTTTGGAGCATGTCTATTGGTCCTTTCATCGTGAGTTTTTCACACAATCTACAGAACAGCTGCCATGCCCCAATGTAGCAAAGTAAAAATCACAAAAAATGGAGATGCATGTTTTTTCACTGTGCAATATGTAATTAAAAGCAGAATGCAATGATGTGCAAATCATTTAAACCCTATATTTAATTGAAAATACTAAGACAAAATATTAAATGTTGAAACTGAGAAATTGTATTGTTTTTGAAAAATATATGCCAGTTTTCAATTTGACATTTCAAAAAGTTGGGACGGGGCCTGTTTACCACTGTCTTGCGTCACATGTTCTTTTAACAACACTGTGAATGCGTTTGGGAACTGAGGAGACATTGCTGTAGTTTTGAAAATGAAATGTTTTCCCTTTCTTGCTTGATATAGAATTCCAGCTGTTCAACAATTCAGGATCTCCTTTGTTGTACAGTATTCATTGTTTCATAATATGCCAAAGTGTGATGATGACATGCTGGATGATCCCTCTTCTCTTTAGCTTGAAGAATGCAGTGTCCATGATTTTCAAAAAAGAATTTCAAACGTTGATTTGTCAGACCACAGGACACTTTTCCACTTCCCCTCAGTCCATTTTAAATGAGCTCTGACCCAGAGAAGGTGGTAGCATTTCTGGATCCCTTTTATGTACAGTTTCTTTCTTGCCTTTTAGAGTTTTAACTTGCATTTGTGGATGCAGTCATGAACTGTTTTCACAGACAGTGGTTTTCAGAAGTGTTTCTGAGCCCATGCAGTGATTTCCACCGCAGAATCATGTCTGTTTTTAATGCAGTGCTGCCTGAGGGCCCAAAGATCACGGCCAGCAAATACTGGCTTTTGGCCTTGTCCCTTACATACAGAGATTTGTCCTGAGTCTTTTAATCATATTCTGTACCGTAGATGAAGAAAAACAAAAGTTCTTTACTATTTTTGTTGAGAAACGTTATTCTTGAATTGTTGCACTATTTGATTGTGCAATCTTTCACAGAGTGGTGAACCCCTCCTCATCTTTATTTCTGAAAGACTCCGCCTCTCTGAGATTCTCTTTTTATTCCCAATCATGTTACTGACCTGTTGCCAATTAACCTAATTAATTAGAGATGTTCCACCAAGTGTCTTTTAGCATCTTTTACACAACACCTCTGTGCTCTCTTTTTATCATTTATACACAACTTTACCAGTCTTTTGTTGTCCTTGTCTCAACTTTCTTGAAACATGTTGCTGGTATCAAATTCAAAATAGACATATATTTTTCAAAAAATTAATAAAATGCTGTCTTTGTACTATTTCCAATTAAACATAAGGTTTAAATGATTTGCACATTATTGCATTTTGTTTTTATTTATATTTTGCACAATTTCCCAACTTTTTTAATGATCAGGGTTGTATTTGTTGTGGCGCGTAGTTTCCTGTTAACTTCTCTGGCCATTTAATGCTATTATTGCTGCAATGAGAGGGAAAAAACTCTTTGTTTGCTATAGCATTGTCTTTTACTTTGTTACTTGAATCTCATTACTGTTTTGTGTTTTGTTAGGATTGTTGTTATGAATTTGCGAAGTATAGACTATGTGGACTTTGTTTGGTCAGTAGTTTCAGTGTCTTCCTTAAGTTTAAATCACAGAGCATCTTTTCAACCTCAAGTTTGCTGCCAAAGAACTAGAACGAAATGCAAAGAAATGTGACAAGGAAGAAAAGGCAGAAAAAGCCAAAGTCAAAAAGGTGATGCATTTTGTCCCAGATGTATGTGTTTCTTCTGGTGTAGATGTGCCTCTGCAGATTCAAGAACATTGAATCTAAACTGTTTTTTATTCATTACCAGCTTTTTGTTGTGGTCAATAGGAAGTTACCTCTGAAGCTTATAAATTCAGCCTGACAGTCATTGCTATGTTGCTAGTTTAATGCTGTCCTGTGGTTCACAGGCTATCCAAAAGGGTAATATGGAAGTAGCACGGATACATGCAGAAAATGCAATTCGACAGAAGAACCAGTCCATCAACTTCTTGAGAATGAGTGCTAGAGTGGATGCAGTGGCTGCACGTGTTCAAACTGCTGTTACAATGAATAAGGTCAGAACTGGCCACGGAACAAAAGCAACATTAAGGCTGTTTTTTTCAAAACTGGTCCTAATGACTGCTGTACCTTATGAATCTTTGCTATTTGCATCTTCTTTTTTATAACTGGGGAAAAAGTGACAGGACAGGTGTTAATTTTGTAGCCTGTTTAAAGCATGTTGGGAACTATAAATAACAGTATGGCAGTCAACTGAGACTGGACGTATGCCCTTGTTGAGAGTGACATCTACCTGTGAGACTGAGAAATTATATTTTAAAAAGAGGACAATGTAATTTAATTTTATTCTCTGAGTACAGGTGAGTTGTTTTTGCTTATGTTATGTTCTATGCCAGATCTTTTATTGTCTTCATTTGTATTTATTTATTTTTCAGGTTACCAAATCCATGGCTGGGGTGGTTAAGTCTATGGATGCTACACTAAAGAGTATGGATTTGGAAAAGGTGAAGTGACTATGAATGCTTGGGGTCCTTTAGATCTGATTCTATAGATTTTTATCCTACTGTCTTGCCTATCCGTAAGCATTGTACACATATCTGCAGGAAATCTGAAAAACATTTATGGTTTAGATTGTTTGTAACATGATATTCCAGTAAACCACAATTCATATTACAGGTCAGTCTCTGAATTTTTAAGCCTTACCTTTATTCATTTTATAAACTGTATTTTCCTCAATCAGCTAAAATTAAAATAGAGGATGCAAAGTTTCACAAGCTCGTATCCTAATGCCTAACAATAGTGAACATTTATATTCTCAAGACCAAAATTTACATTATTATTATGAATTGTGTAAGGACTGAGCAGCATCTGCGGTGATCCCTAATTTCGGTGTTTGTTTTGTGCTACATAGATCTCGGCTCTAATGGACAAGTTTGAGCGCCAGTTTGAAACACTGGATGTGCAGACAGCACAGATGGAAGACACTATGGGCAACACTACAACACTAACAATGCCCCAGGTACTGCAGCCCATCGCATCAGCAGTGATTTTGCTTATTTGAACTCATGGTACCTGATATTATTGTGTCGAAAGGTTTGTAGCATGCAGTCTTCCAACATTTCTTCCAAAATTAAGATAATTATTAAAGAGTTTGTCATTCTACTCTTCTGAGAAAGTTTACAGAAGATGTTAGTGAGGTCAGATACTGATGTTGGCTGATCAGTTTTGGAGTATTAGCTGACAGTAGCTCAGTTCATTTATTAGAAGGAGTGTCTAGTTACTTTTTACACATAGTGTACATGAAAAAAACAGAGTTTTTGAGTTATTATTATTATGATTATTATTATTATTTTACCTTTTTATATAATTCCTCTGTGAATGTGTTTCTACAGAATGAAGTGGAGTCTCTAATGCATGAGATGGCAGATGAAGCTGGGTAAGCCACTGCTATTTTTCCTGGAGAACATTACAACTAATTTCCCATAAAAAAATCACAAGAGCCATCCTAGAAACACATAATACCACCCACAAGAGAAGAATGATTCCATTGTTTGAGTCCATTATTGTTTGCATTAGGTATCTGGTAAGCATTTATTTAGATGTTACAGACAGAAGTCCAGAAAGAGAACATGCTGAGAATGACCACTGTAGACTTTTGCATTCCTTAGCATTGAATAACACTGGCCAATTTGTGAAAATAAGTTACATGCTCTATAGGAAACAAACTTAAATATGACATTTTTGTTGCACAATTTCTATTTATTTGCTGAGTTCAACTTATTGGAAGGCAATAAAAGAGAACATATAAATTGTCAAGCAACATTTGCACAGATCACATTTAATTTTTTTATTTGGCAAGTTAAATTTTATTTTGGTCTGTAAAGTCTTCGACTCAAGCCAACTAGTTTGACTTATTGACATTACGTCTTACTTTGGCTTACTTACCGTCTTAAAACAAATTTTAATTGTTGGAGGTTCTGGAGAGCAACTGAGGGCTGGTAGCTGAGGCTTGAAGGAGAATTGTGGCTCCTGTGGGCTCTTTGTCACGGATGTATAAACACGTATTGTGTATATTGCAGAGAGGCAGCTCTGTCAACCAGCACTACCCTCAGCAAATCACACACCAAGTCATTGCCCACTGGGCTTACTATGAATAGCCTCAGACAGGAAGAGCAGGCGGCGGCACAAGAACTCCCGCCCCAAGCTGGCCCACCGTTTAGCTGGATTGCACATCTACCAGTCAGATCAATAGCACTCTGTCTCACCCACCTGCCTGTCCTCCCATATGTGCTTCTAAAGTGGAATAAACAGTACTGTGGGCTTTTACAGATGCACCTAGAGTTTTTCTTTCCCCAGCAGAGGTCACCAGTGGTGCTAGCAAGCAGCTCTAAGAGCAGCTGAAGTCCAGATGAAAAGCTGTTTTCTGACCTGTCTGCCTAAGACTCGATTCTGTAGGACAGCTTCCTCCCAATAAAGTAGCTCACATGATGTTTTTACTGTGTTGTGTGCTTTATGTGCATGTATCACAGGTTGGATCTGAACATGGAGCTTCCTCAGGGACAGACAGGCTCAGTTGGCACTAGTGTAGCATCAGCCGAACAGGTAAAGCACCACTGTCTGCTCTATTGCTAGCTAAACTTTTACACATGACATTTCCCACCATGTTCTTATAGCAGTGCTGGTTTCAACACAGTTACTCCACCCACTGAGTTCCTCCAAACCGTTTAGATGATATAAAAATGCTAACGGCAGTGTGGTAGAAACATTTAATAGAGCTAGAGGGAGTGTGTTATCGTGAATAACATTACGCCTGTGACTTAGTCTTAGGCACAAGTTGAAGGCAAGTACTGTAGATCATTTGGGTTTGTGATGTTATTCATGATAACACACAAGTCTAAGTGCTCTGTTGCTTTTATACAACAGTTCTGCAAAATAATGAAAAAGTAAAGCAAAAAAGCCTTGTAAGTTGTATTGAATGTGCTTTAAAAGTGACGATACCTTACACTAAAAAAGTAATAGCCTTTTGAGCTATAGATAAATCTGTAGGTATCAGAATGAGCTCATTCTTTTCTGTATTTTCCAAATAAACCAGTCTGTAGAGCATTTCACAGCCCATCTTTTTTGCTGAATTGTATTGTTTGTTTCTGGCTGAATTCAGTTTGTTTAGTCACAGCTGAAAAGCATGCTTAGGGGCAACGACTGGTTCGAAATTTGATCTACATCTAGTCCTGCTGTCACACTCTTCTTCAGAATGTGACCAAACGAACTGCAGGTCAAATATCTTACAGAAATTATGTAATGTATCTGTTTTCTGTTTTGTGTGTGCAAATACAGGAACTTAATAAGGATTAGCTACAGCTTAAAGTGAGTCATTACTTAGCAGCTAGTGCTCAGTGGGGTAGCACGCTTCTGCACCTGTCACAATTATCAATCGCCTAATCACAATTATTTGAGATGATGGCCGTTATTTGAGGTGATTACAGTTAATTAAAGTGACTATAGTTATTTTCCACAGTCGTTATATTTCACAGTCATATTATGCTGCAACATGCAGAATTTCAATTAATGCGTTCAGTGAGAAACATCGTGGAACTCATGAAAATTTCTAACGTGGTGATCTAACCTTTAGTGGGCAGCACAAGTAATGTGTTTATTTGTTAGCTACAGAGAAGCCAAATAGTCTGAAACCACAAACCTGGTATTTTTTCCATTTAAACCTGAAAAATAAACAACAGAAAGTTTTAAAATTTTGAAAAACAAAATAAAACAAAGTTATGACAATTACAATGAAGAAGAAAAATTCAAAATTTCTAATTCACTATTCAATGTTAAGCAAATCTGTGAAATTGTCTTCCATTGAAGTTTGTGTTCAGATGACACTCAGGTGGATTTGATCTGCTGATCAGAGGCTTTTGCACAAACGTCCATGCCAGCTTGAGTGCACATTGTCATTAAAGCAAAAGGAAGACGTACCAAATATTAAGACATTCTGAAATTAATGTAAATATTCAAAGATTCCACTTTTTACTCTAAGTGTTATGCTGATCACAGCCTCGTCACCAGTGGTCTCAAACTTTTAGACCTTACTGCGTGTAGGTAATTCTAATATTAGCATGTATGCTAGCATGTTTTTTATGTGTATGTTTATGTATGTATTTCTCTGTAACTGTAGACATTTGACTAAGCAAATGTATCTAGCAATCAAGATGGCTGATTTGCAATCAATGAACAAAAAGTAATTAATTTAGTCATTAATCGCAATTATTTATATGACAATTAATTGCCAGCTAAAATTTCATGACCATGACAGCCCTGCATGCTTCTCAACAAATCAGGATCCAGTTTCATAAAAGCATCTTAGTGCTAACGATCATGATTTATAGAGAGATTGTTCCTGTCATGCTCTCTCCACCATTTAAGAATTATTTTTGTGTCAAGATGCTTTCAGGAACCCTAGCCCTGATTGTGCTGTCTTAAATAACTGTATAATATTGTTTTATAGCAGCACCTGCAGATATACCAATTGCCATCTACCAGTAGGAATCTACCGTATCTCTGTCAGGATTAACACAGAACACTGTAATTTATCACTAACCTGTTGTTTATTTGCAGGATGAGCTCTCTCAGCGCCTGGCCAGACTACGAGACCAAATCTAGAGTTACATCAGTGTATATTTATGGGAGAAAGGATCTGTGAATTGATGAAAGGGTGAGCATGTATCTTCAAACCTGCAAAAAGGGGCTTGCTAATATAAATTACTAAAGCTGACCTGTGCATATGAGTGTTCTCTTCTATGCCTAATGGTGGCACTGCTGAGTAGGAAAACGTCCCTCTGTGGTGAGGGGCAAGAGCTGGGTCCTCATCTCATGTCTTTGCCTAGAATACTAAGAACCTATAACCTTATATGGGACGTGCAATGGAAACTGTGATGTGTGTTTTGCGGGCTACTGACATGGCAATGCCTTCTTAACATTGTCCAGCCTAATTCAAAGTCTGTGCATTCTGAATGATTTATGATGGCGTATGTATATATTGTCTAGGCAGTATGACACACATTGGACACATTTCCCCTGAATAATCTGCTTATTAACATACTATAAGAGACAAAATAATGGGAACCTCAAGGGAAAGGGGGTCTTATTTTGAGATGGCTAAATGTATTTTACAAAACAATGCTTTTATTTTTGTGTGAAAGAGGGTCATTATTGGATGAACAAATAATAGGTTTACCAGTCACAGAACTAGCAAACAGAAAAATGATCGTAAGTTTATGATTCTGACTATGACATTTATGTCCATATGTATGCATTCCATTATTTTGTGTCATTAACACAAACGTGTCATGAACGTGGGTCACATTTGGATTCTATTTATTTTCAAAGTAAAGCATTTGCACATATTTAGGCTTATGTATGACTGATTTTGTGAAAACAACTTATGTTGATCAGTGTGGTCAACCACATTAGTCAATAGTTGTTTATTATTGTGTCTCTAATTTTATCTCCCATTGTGAGATATTTAAGTTTGTATTAAATATTGTTTAGAGTGAAATGTTGAAAAAATAAACAGTTTTATTACGTTATGACTGCTTATGTACCATTTTGTACCTGCTTTAAGCAAGTCAGTAAATTTTACAATGTCTGTTTTTAAAATGCTAAGATGTTTATTTATAACCTGTTGCTTAGTTTGTTCCATGTGTTCTGTTAATATTGGTAGGTGTGGAAGTTGATGGATACCCTGAGAGAACTTGCTAATAAGTTTATCTAACAACATGCCAGGACAAGGTCTTGCACCTTGTTTATAGGCTACTAATATTAATATTGAGCTCTATCATTGATTGTAGATATACATTGAATCTTTTGAAATTTAAATAGAAAAGTCTCTCTTTTAAACTAAGTAGATTATTTTTGCATCCTTCTCATCTTCTTATTCTGCCAAATCACTTATTGTTGCTGCTCTGACAGCACAGATCAACGTGCCCTCAGTCTGAGGAGCTCAGACTAGGAGCTCATTGTGCCGTAAATGGTCAGCTTTGATAGCAGCTCTTGGTCGAATCTCTTGGTCTCCCCTCTGCTCCGGCTCTACAACAGGAAACAGATGGAAGGTCAAAAGTCTCACCTGGGTCGGAAGCGGCGCTCAGTCACTCGCATGCCAAGCCGTCATTACCGTGCGATGAAGGGAGTGTTCTATCTGGCTCAGCTGCAACCAATTTCAGGTACTGAGTGCGGCCCGTGTGCCGACGGATCCTGCCAGGGCTTGGACACATGACCTCTGGCTCCCAGGGAAAACCCATCTTGGCCAATTATAATCAAGAGCCTTTGACTGACGGCACAGCTGGGCAGAAGCCTCCATTATGCACATTGGCGCAGACAATTTTATTACCTGTTGTTATGCCATTACATTACCTATGATCCCCTCAGCTGGGGATGCTAATTTAAAGCAGGGATCTGATCCTGTGTCCATGGAGAAGATAGGACTACCCTGGACCCATTATGCTGGCGACTAAGCAATGTACATTTGGAGTAATCTTTAATGACTGTCACACCTTTTTTTGTCAAAGTGAGTTCCACAGTTTTGAACATAGACCTAACAAAGCTGTTCTTGTGAAATATTGTAGGTGTGGACTGCTTATTATTGTGCCAACATACATTACTGTTGAAATGTTTCAGAATTTTTTACTCCATTTTGTCTGATAGAGCGAGCTGCCCTTCCACTGAGCACTGCAATATTTATTTGCATGTGACTATTTCAAATAGTTATGCTGAACAGATGTGTTGCACTGGTGGAATGTCTGCCTGTTCTTTGCTTTTTTTCTCTTTGTGTTGTCATGTTAAGCAGCAGGCACCAATCCACGTTCCTGTTCTCTGTGAGTTGCAGGACATTTTCTCTTAACTAAGTGCCTTGGTTCTGTGAATTTGCTCAGGATGCTAGGGCTGTGGCTGGGCAGCAACCACCACCAGCAGCATCTCCCAGCCCATTGTCACCTCTGTAAAAAGGTTTGTTAGAAGAAACTTCTGTCAGAGGCTGGGGGGAGATTTACTAAAGCCGCTGAGGTGAGGACAGTGAGTATCTGCTCACGGCACAAAAGAAGGGGCTGGACTACAAGTTAAACTCCTAACTGACTCTCTCTTTCCACGGGTAGGTGCTCAGTGCTGTGGTGGTGGCCCTGCAGACAGGCAGCCTGGTGCTGGAGCTGAAAACTGAGCATTGCTGCATTCAGTCTGCACAGCTTGCAGACATGCAGGATAATTGGGCGCTTCCCTCGCCCCTGCCTCCTCTCATGGGTTGTGAAATCATAGTCATTTTCTGAAGGCAACCAGGCCCCATACAGATGGAAGCCTGTGATGGGCATTAATGTGGGCCCCTCCTCTTTTGAAACATTCAATTTTCCCTGTGCCTGATGGCTGTCGGAAAGAGGCAACAGGGCAGACACAGGAAGCTGCGTGCATTGGTTCCGCTTGCTCTGGTGGGGCATGTGTGTCCAATCACTTCAGCAAAGGGCTTTCCCCAGCTTCCTTTACACACATGCACGCACGGGGCATCTGCTGATGACCCCGCAGCCATGCACGGTGCTTCCTCACAGATGTGTTAACGCTGCTTTTAATTTGTTTTTATTGCTTTTCGCCACTGCAGCTGGCCCGATCATTCCCACTTCCCAACTGCATGGGTCATTAAGCTTAAAACAGCCCTAGGCTTCATCCTAGTAACTGAGTCTCTGCATCCCCAGTGCTTGCCCTCTTACAACCTCAGTCTTCACTATCTATTTCAGTAGCGCAGTGTATGGACAAATAAACCCAATCCCACCGCACCCAACTTCAAATGTAAGAGGAGGTTTTACTGCGATGCCCTCCTGCACTGATGGCCAGGCTGATTGACAGCTGAAGACGGAGGTGCGGGGTTGTCATAACACACTTTACTGTCCACAGGGCCTTGACAGGCCACTGTGTTTTATGGGACTGGGAGGTCAAAGTCAAAAGGTTAATAAGGTGTCATCTTCTGCACAGTTGGTGACAGGATGCCTGGCTGCTGAACTCTGAAGAGGCCTGTTGGGGAGCGAATGCACTCTGAGGTGTTCAGCAGTAAACCAAGTATGAGGTCAACTGAGGCAATAAGTGACTAAAAAAATTTTTTTGCAGTATTAGCTGAAGGCATTAGCACATCTTAGAGCAACACTGTTGCCTGAACCACTTTGTAAAACATAATGTCAACGCTGATCATGCTCCCTGTGTTTGGACATTACCACGTGTACATGTGGTGATGAAGATTACTGCTCAGCCTGGAGACAGAAAGGGAAGAGAGAAAAAATGCACACATATGGAAAAGTGCTTGACGGCCTGCAGTTAGTCACACTCCTGCGTCTCTAATTGAATTACCGTTGACAGCACACCACAGGCCGAGTGCTAGACCCTAAGCAGCCGGCAGGCGGGGTGTGAGTGTGCCGGGGACTGGGGCATTCGCCCTGAAATCAATTACCAGCAAAAGGGGCCAAGGGGATCAGGGCCCACTGGCCACATCCTGCAGGTCAGCCCTGGGACTGACAGCAGCATCTGGGGCCATCCTTCTGCACTGACCCCAGAGCAGCACTTGAAAGCAGGCTTTGCAGGGAGCGGGCAAAGGGTGGCTCTAAATCACCTGCTTGCCCCTGCCACCTGATACCCAGGACTGGAGCATCCCATGCACTGGCACCCTCCCCTGCCTGTCTTACTGAGACAAGAAAAGATAACCTGTCACCTACAGGAAGCAGGCAGAGCCAAGCATCTTAAATCTTTAGAAGGTTATTATTTGATCACTTCAAAAGCAAGGCCCTATCTCATATCAGTGCCTGGGCCCACTGCCCTGGTCGTTTGCTCACTGTTGCTATAATAGCTTGAACTGCAGAAGCCCAAAGAAAGGGAGAGGTGAGGACAGTGCACCTTTTCCAACCCACATAAGGTTTTGCATGAGGCCAGGTGGAGAACTCACAAAAGAAAAAGAAAAATACATGAACAATGATTGTTGATTGAATGACCTTCTGCTTCTTGATATGAGTAATTGAGTCCGACTATTTTCTTCAACTTAACAGTAACTGTGCTTTTATGGAGGAGTCATGGAGGGTGAAGGTTTCTGTCATTTCTAATGAACCTAATAACTTCCAGCAACTAGCATTGCGGGGATATTCTGAGCATTTAACACCGAAAGAGTCTTAACTCAACACTCAATGCCTTATTCCCATTCTCTGCAGAGTTTATTTCTCCACAACTAAGCAAGACTTCACCTGTGACCAAGTGTTCCTTTATGGGGAACTGCAGGAACATGAGTTCTGCCGAAGACATTAGACCATGCAACAGGGAGTTGTGTGAGGAGGGACTACAAACGGGGATGATGGACAGCAGGGGTCAGAAAGTGGAAAGTGTTTTGTTGGTCCAGCACAAGGTCCCTGAGACTTGCTGACAGGTCTCTCCACAGTTCACTTCCCCTTTATACAGCTGAGAGCCGCTGTACCAGAGAGAGTAATTAGGGGAGTGTGCTGCAGAAACCTTCAGGGGAAGGGATTTATGTGTAATCAGGCCGCGTTGAGGTGAAAGACCACTGACAGATAGCAGGACTACTGTAACACATAGCATGATGAGCTGGATCTCCCATTAACTGTCAGCTTTCAGGGTCTGAACATTCTTTGCATGGGTCTTTTTTGTAGTTGCAGACCACGCAAGCAGCCGTTGGTTCCGTATCGTTCAGATGTGACAGTATTTGTTTTATTGTCCCTCAGATTTGTTTGGATTGCTCAAGGAAGTGTGAACGCTGTTAGGGTCGTTAACGCTTCTGGGAGGGGGGCAAAGTGATGGATGACATCAGAGCTCGAGGAGGGAAGGCAGCCCACACAAACAGAAGCCAAACGCCTGGCTTCCATGAGTCTGGCTGGGAGGCCTCATGTGAAAGCAGTTCCTTCCACTTGCGCCTGACCCCAGCAGCCCTCTGCTAATGGTGCATAGGCTGAACACATGCCTGACCAACACCAGCATGACCCCTCTTCTTAATTCTCCAAAAGTGGCAATAGGTACGCACCTATGCAGAGGTACTTTACATTACAGTTGCTGTCTTGCCATTATATTTACCACCAAAAAGAGCCAAAAAATCAATAATACTCCAGACGTGTAACTGGATGACTTTCTGAGGTTGGCATTTGAGTGTCTGAACGATAAAAATCTGAGGTTTGCACACAAACCAATGAAGATACCTGTAAGTTAGTAGATGGTGAAGTGTAGGTTGTGCACACAGGCAGCTGTGGTGTAGAGCCAATGAGCTAAATGTGCCTCAGTGTGGCCAGAAGCAGACCTGCTGTTTGATAGAAGAGAAGAGGACCGCTTAATAAGCTGTTAAACTGCCCTTGCTTTTCACATTATTGGCTGGAGGTAATTCAATTTCTACAGCAGCTGGTTTCACTTGAAACTTTACAACACCGTTCAGTCACATCCCATAAGCTGACCTGATAAATAACCTTCTTTTATTGAGTTTGCAGAGCAAATACCGTCCAACATAAACCTCACATGAGGCAGCCTAATAGG